GTATAATATATATATATATATATGAAATTTATGTTAACTTATAGCATCTTCCTACAGAAATGAGGGAAGGATGCGGAAGGATTTGATGATTTATTTTAAATATATTGTACTGTATATAAATTTTAAATTTTAAATAAATTTAATATATAAATAATTAAATATTTTTGTATTAATTGCGGATAAATTTATGTAGAAAATATATAAAAAATGATTTTCTATAAATATCATTATTTACTTTTATATTTTTTTATTCACTTTATATCTCAGTACCGCTCATCTTTCTTATCTTTTTTCACATCATCTTACTTTTGTCCTCCCTTCAGTCTATATCCTCGAGTAGGTTCTAACCCCTGTCCAACACCTCATTGGGATCTTTCTTCCTCTTCCTCATCCATTTACCTCTTACCTTACTTCAGCTAAGACCCTATAGTAGGCTCCACCACCCTCTCAATACCCTATGAGATCTCTTTCTGATCCTCTTTCTCGTATCTTCACTCTCTTCAGCCTAAATTCTCGAGTAGGTTCTACCCCTTTCTAAACACCCTATTGGGACTTTCCTTCCTCTTCTTCATCCCTATACTTTTCTCCTTTCTTCAGCCTAGATCCTAAAGTAGCCTGTATCTCCTCTCATTACCCTATCAGACCTTCTCTTCTCTTTCTGATCCTCTTTCTCATCCTCTCACTCTTCCTTTCTTCAGCCTAGACACTCGAGTAGGCTCTACTCCTAATAATAATAATAATAATATTAGGCTAATATATTTTCTATTGATATAATTTTATAATTTTTAAAAATATCTTAAAATATAAACATTTAAGAGTTATATATAAAAAGTAAAACCTGTCCAAAACGGAAACTCAATAAAACGGAAATCCGCCTAAACGGAAACCTGCCAAATCGGAAAAATTGTCCGTTTTACACAAGTTCGACTGTATATAACTTATTTTATTGCTTTAAAAAAAAAAAGAATCGAATTATAGTATATACACGAAGCGTACAGGAAACATATTGTTTACAAGGCATGTACTGTACTGTACCGAATTTCACAGTAAAGTTGACACGTAACTTTAGTAATAATACTATTATACATACACGGTATTATTTTCTGTAAAGGAAAAATCCGTATTCACGTTGGCTTAATTTTTGCTTGAAATCTTTTCAGGTGCTTCCTGCTTACGTCTCGTTCGGTTGGATGTACCTCATGCTATTTTGAATGGTGATTCGATTTGGTTAAACTGCTCATTTGATTTGGAAGCAGATGAATTATATTCAGTCAAGTGGTATAAAAACAATGTTGAATTTTATCGATATCTACCGAGTGACCAACCTCCCGCTCAAAAGTATGATTTATTAGGAGTGTATTTAGACGTACGTACATTGATCCTATCACAGGAATTAGTATGGAAATCGTATTATTCTTCTTTTCTAACAAAAAAAAAAAAATTCCTTCTTTAAAGAGGAAAAAAATATATATATTAAAAAAAATTCTATTTTTCTCTGATGTAAAATTGTAAGCAAATAAGCTTATAAAAATCCCTTTAAGAATAACAAGAAAAAGTGGCAACTTCTCCCTCTTTTTTTTTGGAAAAACTTTGTACTAAATTATATATTTTTTTTAAATTTTTACTCGTAAAAAACATTAAAAATTTATCAATTTTATAAAGTTAAATCCGTAAAAAAAATACGCTTAAAGAATTAATTTTAAGTCGTTTTTATTTATAAATTTCCATTAAACCTTTCGAGTGTAATAATTAATTTATGTACTTTTATTATTATTAATTTTTTTTTCTTAATTTTAATAGATTTTTTTACTTTATATATA